GTTATTATTTTTCTGAAGATATGGGTAAACAACGACATTTAACAGCGTTTGAACGTGGGATGATTGTTGGCGCGAGCCTTGGAGCGAGTATCAGCAAAATAGCAGAATTCAGGAAATGTTCAAGAGGGGCTCATTGTTAAAGTGTTTAAAGACTGGACTGTCAGTCGAAAATCTGGGTCTGAACGTGCGAATTGTGGCCGTCAGCGAATAGTCAATGTTATGAGTGGCCAGTTTATTATGCGCACCTGACGTTTGTAGGCAAATTAGCTATAATTAGCTATAATTTTGCGCTGAAGTTGCTAGAGGGCCAGACCATTATAAATAGGGAAGCAGGTTGTTTACCACGACAGTAGAAGTGATTTTTTTTTCCTGAAGATATGGGTAAACAACGCAATTTAACAGTGTTTGAACATGGGATGATTGTTGGCGCTCTGAGCCATGGAGTGAGTATCGGCAAAACTTCAAAATTCATTAAATGTTCAAGAGCAGCTGTTGTTAAAGTGTTTAAAGACTGGACTGTCAGCCGAAAATCTGGCCGTCAGCGACTAGTCAATGTTAGGGCAGAACGGAGAGTGGCAAGACTGGTGCAAGACAACAGAAGGGTGTGTGTGTGTATGTATGTATATGTGTGTATATATATATATATATATTAGTAGGATGCAGCCAGGCTGACCAGCCAGCCAGTATGTGTGTGTATATATCGTGCGGTACCCCAATGCTGTGTGGTGCAGTTGCAAAAAATTGTGCATGCAGTTTTATTCTGAAGTAAACTTTTTGTTTGTAACACTCCATTTGTGTATTTTATTTTAAATTAAATATGGTATTTATTTTTATCCAATTCATCGAAAAAATAATTGGCCAACTAATCTAGTATGAAAATAATTGTAAATTGCCGCCCTACTTCCAGCAAGAAATTGCATTGTAGTTGTAATTCAGGCGGCAGGCTTAGTTATAATGATGACATAAAGAAGTGCATTTTTGCAGGCTTGAGTGAAATTGTGTCAGTTATTAAAGGAGTCCATAGGATGTACTTCTTCAATGCACTAAGTTTATAAACTTCTAGATCGATATGGTTTTTAGGATTTGCATAAAAGTAATGGAGGTTCGATATAGAAATGCATATTTATTTTTAGATTTTGACCACCAATACCTTTTTAAGTAGATGTATTGGGAGAGTAAAATGTACTTACAATACTTTGAGCCGCCGAGTGACACAAACTTTTACACGCTGGCTCTATAGGTTGAGAACTGATCGATCAGGAACCGCTGATTGCTCAGCTCACGGTCTTCTCCATGACTATCAGCCACCACTTCCTGCAGGGATTCCCCCTCCCCTCTCCGTTCCTCCAGTGCTCTCTCGAGGGCCAAAAAAGGGAGGGGTGGACACAGCTGGTTTTGTCTCTAGAGAGGTACAGTCAGCTGTCAATCAGGCAGCGGGGTGGATCCTGACAATATTGTCTGGATACTTCCCAGCTGCAGTGCGGCTCTGTACTGTCAGCATATAGCAGGCAGTATGTACTACTGAGACCCAAAAGGGAACTAAAACCAATAAAAAGTTTTGACTTTAGTAGTCATGCAGGACAAAGTGAAAGTGTCTCTGCAAAGGACTTCCCCAAACCTCTCTATATTCAACAGTGGTGCATAGCAACTCCTTGCTACTCTGTAGCTATTGCTGTGTTGGTGGTCCAGGGGAGCTGTGACAGTGCTCAGACCTAGCAAATTGCTGCTAGGCCTGGGCACCATTAAGGGGGAACAGGTATTCTCCCCAGCTGCAGAGAAGCAAGGGAGTGCAGATAAGGTGGGTATATATTTAGGTGAGGCCCTTTCCAGAGACATTGTCATGTTGCCCCGCATGGATAATGGTAACACTGTCTCTTTAAGCTTTGCCGCAGCAAAACACCTCTTGGTAATAACAGCATGCAGTTCTGTTCACAGCATTAATTTATTTTTAAGTAAAGTGGTCTTTGACCTTTTATTTAACATGTCTCTATCTATCCACGATCTTCCGGTCTTCAGAAACTGTTTTAATATGTGTTTTGCAAAGTTTTGGATATACCCAAGTTTATCAAAGGCACTTTTTTTTTCGTACTTAAGAAACTAGTATTTTTTTTTTCCCTCCACGTCTCACTTGCAACCATTTATCAGCTGGTAAGGTACCAGGACTCAGGACATATCCATTTGTCTCCTAATGGTATTTAATGATTTCACAGATACAGTTTCCCCACTGAGTATTGACGTTTGGTGACATTTTTTGCAGGTCAATGGACCTGGTAAAAGAAGAGTGGAAATCAAGCTCTTAGTGTAATGTGTCAAATGCCTTACTCTTTTAACCTTTCTTGAGAAGATTTGTCTCTTAAGTGCACTTTTTGTTGACATCATGTAAAGATTAGAAGATTGTTAAAAGTGCAGCCATATATGTACGCTAAATAATTGACTTGCTACCTGCTAACTAGCAGGCATCTCTTTTGATAATGTTTAAAAACCCTTGTTTATGCTTTGCAAGTGAAGCACAACAAATACAAGTAATTCACAGTGTGGCAAGCATGTGCTATCTTTAGAATGGCGTGTTCAGCTGGCATTTAGCAAACTTTAGCAGGAGTTTAGTAAGTGCTTTGTGTAGTTGCTTGCTGAATGTGTGCTAAAGCTCACTAAGGCCCTGTTCAAACCTAGGCGTTTTGGCTCTCAAAGCTAAGCGAGACAAAACTCTCAACACAAGAAATTCCATTAATTTCAATTGCCCCTGTTCACACCTGAGAGTTTTGTTGCCAGCTGTAACACTCTGAACGCTGGAAAAAGTACATGAGCTTTTGTTGGGGGCAGATTACAGCACGTTTGGATGCATAGACATCAATGGAAACGCCTTGAAACGTGTGACACGAGCAGTTTGCACATTTCTGTGTGTGTTTTTGCTCACCTTTGCTCATTCACCGCAATGCAATCCAATCTGCTCAATAAATTGTGCATCTTCATCTACGCAGGTCTGCCACGCACTAAACAAAATGTGCGCGAAAACGCTGACGCCTAGGTATGAACAGAGCCTAAATCTTTAATTGGGTTCCAACCAGTGCTCTTATTAAAATTTGTATATGGCACACTGAGACCGGAGTTATAGAGTTCTTGATGCTTAAACACTTTCTAAATGGTTAGATGCTCTTCAAACTAACATTCACCTAGTACAATTCTAATCTTTGTACTTGTTCTTAAGCTGGCCATACATTATGTCAATTTCGGCTGTTGGTACCCTTTCCACTGGCATTCCCTCAATCAGCTGATTTGAAGGAGCTGGTCAGAAAATCTTTGAACAAATAGTCGGCAGGCAGTGAGCTGCCGGCTCTGTTTGGGTATTCTGACAGCAGCTGGCTCTCTTTGCGAAAGAGACAGTGGGGCTTCCTTGATCAACACAATTGTAACATTGATGGAGGAATCTGTTCTAAAAATAAAACAGTGTATGGTCAGCTTTGCATCTACCTACTTACACTCTGTAATTGTTGTTATATTGAAAAATATATTGCCCCTTCCTTTTTAGATTGTAAGCCCTCAGGGGCAGGGCCCTCCTTACCATCTTGTCTTGAATTGTATTGTAATTATAATGTCTTCCATGTATTGTAAAGCGCTGCACAAACTGTCGATATATACATCCTGTATACTAGTAATAATAATAAACAAACAATGCTAAAGACTATGACAGCGGACACAATGTACAGGCAGGGTGTGAAATTGTGGAAGTATAGTGCACACATTTGCTGGTTTTTATCACATATTGCTTTTTCTTACTGGGGTAAGAGGTTCTCTTTTATGGAGACATCAGGAATCTATTTGATCCCTGATTTTCTCTCCTGTGTCCATCAGAAAGTTTGTGATCTGCATCTGAGCCAGCTCAGGGGTAGAGTAGCAGATACACAAGAGGATATTGTATCATTGCTAAGGAGAATTTGTAGAGAAAGTGCATCACTAGGGATGAGAGCATGAGCCATGAAAGTATGACATTGTGTGCAAGAAGCCTCTAATACTACTGATAGGGAATAGGATCTAGGCAAGAATGTTTAGTAATGCGATTAAAGTGACACTAAACTCAGAAGTTAAATCTTTAAAATGCATCCAAGTACCCTATTAACAAAAATGTATCTTATTTGTGTATCACTCAGCTGTAGAGCCTCAAATCATCTCTGAATTTGAGCATCTACAACCAAGTGATATAAACATAAGCTACATTTTTGTTAATAGTTAAGGTACTTGAATGCATTTTTAGTTTTAACTTCTGAGTTTAGTGTCACTTTAACTTTTTCCTTTGTGGGCTGTAGGGACATTATGAGTGCAGTTAAAACTTAAACTGCAGTCATAATACTAAGATAGGTCTTAACAGGTAGGTATGCAAATCTGTAGTGTTGGACGGTTTGAGTGTGTTAGAAGTTTGATGCGCGTAGCAAAATATGCTATAGCCTCTACAATAATATATGTTAGTCAGTGCGTGTTTAAAAGGAGTTGGTCACCAGGTAAAGAATTCATCAACAGCAGTAGTTTACTAAGAAGCTAAAAGTACATTTTCTGCTAGACCCAATAGGGTCCTTTTTAATGTTATAATTTGTTACTGAATGTGGCATAAGTATTTGCAGTTTCATGACACAGTTTAGTGCTGCGCACTCCCAACTCTGTGTAGCACTTCTAAATAAAGGTTAACAGACTTCTGCTTTTTCCACCCTTTAAATGTGCTTGCTTTATCCCAGTAGGAGATGTAGGGTTGCAAACAACATACATATTTAGAAAGATGCCAGGCGTGTTTTCTTATAACATGTTCTTGTGTTTGGAGAAGACCTGTCAAGCCATCATTTTAACTGGCAAAATGCTAGAGGATCTTGGTGACTCTCTAGTAGAACAAGGAATTACTGCTACATTTAATTACAATATAATTACTATTACATTGGATGCTATACATATACAGTATACTTTTTGAAAGTTTGTTTTTACCTTTCTTCTTCTTTATTTTGTATTGTCGGTGACAGAAAAGAGTTACAAGGACTTCAGAATCTTTACAAACAAAGCAATGAGCACGCTGCCCAACAAGCTGAGCTTATACAGCAACTTCAGGCACTCAATGTGGACACACAGAAAGTACTGAGAAGCCAAGAAGATGCCCACACTACTGAAACTATCTCATTCCAGAAAGTATGTTTTGCATTCATGGAATCCTGTTTGGTTTAACACTGAAATGTTGCATTCTTAATACAGTATGCCTTGTGGTCCCTCCATTTCAAAAATAATATGGCTGACCTCTCTTAAAAGAACCTGGCAGGTATGCCAGTATGACCAAACTAACAATACTGTCAATGTGAGTGCATCCAGGGAATTCTTGGAAACATAGAAATTGGTTACCTGAAAGGTAATTTCATGTAGGGCAATTATAGAAGGTGCCTGCACTTGGGCAACATTGTTAGATTGGGTACATTAGTTTGACAGGTGTGCTGTGATATCTCCTGCCATCTTGCCCTTGTAGAGCTAAGTGACCCCCCCCCCCCCATGCTACCCCTCACACCTCTATTTTTCTCTGCATCCAGCAGTAATACCTGGTATGGAGGTGTGTGTTACCCTCCTCCCTATGATGATGGCCAGGTTTAGCAGTTAATCACTTAGTCTGGGCACTGTCACAAGAATGGGGGGGTAGCCCTTTGCAGAGACGGTCACTTTTTTTTAAAATATCGGATTTAATCTCTTTTTGCTTTAATTTTTTAAAACTTTCTTTTAACACACTTGACTTTATTGCTATTACATAGGGGGCCAAGAAGCACCCTATGTGATAGCCAATTTAATTTGACAGCTCCTTTTTATGGAGACATAAGTGGTCCCTAAGACCTCTAATGTCACCAAGGGACCCCCAGACCAGCTCCTAGGGACCCCCAGACCTGCTTCATCAGCTTCTCTACGGCTTCTGTAACCGGGAATATACATCACTTCCTGCATTCTGACACCGGAGAGGAGTTCAGAGGGAAATTCTTTACTGATCTCTTTCTGATCTCCAGTGGGTGGCAGAGCTGCCGGTCCCGGCCAGCACCGAGCACAGTGGATCTCGGGACCAGTGGATGTGGGGGGGTGCGCACAAAATACCAGCGATCCAGCGGCTCTATAGGCACCAGAACGCTGCTTGGATTTAAACAGCCATTGTCGGCTGTTAACATTTTAGCTAGTTTCCCCACTAGTGCGTGAGCTTGGTGCCACACACGAAAAGGGGCGAGTAAGGACGCTTTAAAATGCCCACCCACATCTACACTGCAGGTGGTTAAACAAGCTTTTAGCAAACTGTCAAACAATGCTAAAGCCCACCAAAGGCTTGTATAAAGCTACAATATACTGTTCTACTACCGCTGAACAATAGCAAATTAACACACTTATATACACACACACACCGTTATATTCATAGATGTTAAATGAAGCCCTGAAATACTTGCCTGTCTTGCAGAAAACATTACCCTATGCTACTATGGTATCCTTTTACGTAATTGAATGTATAGATGTTGCTCATGTAATTTCTGCTGAGTAAGAGGGTTGATGTTCAGGCAGAGCCACTGAATTGCTACCAATACATGATCCATAAACTAAGCCTCTTCAGTTGAGACCATGTGGCCAATGCCAAGACATTTGGTTGAGTCACCGGCTGCTCGGGGAGCCCATTTCAGTGGGGTTTTTTTTTTTGCAAGACCGGTGTGATATTTCAAAGCTTAACATCTATGAATTTAAGAAGCTTAGCAGGCTGAAGGGCTGAGACTGTTGTTTTGCAATTTTGCTTTAGTTGTGCATCCAGTAGAGATGTTCAGATAGCAGTGCCTATACTTGGCATTTTCATGAGAACTACCAAGGTTGCAGCGGTCGCAGCAGTGACTGAGCCCTGGCGCTCCGCCATTATCCTGAAATCATTAGCCTGTATTGTTTTAGAAAAACTGTTACATTTTTATTAAGTGTAATTAATGTATCGGTAACTGGTATCTGTGATTACTTAGACAAGTATCGGTACTTTTGAAAAAAAGTATCAATACTTGTAGCAATGACGGTACTTGGTATCCGAACATCCCTAGTATCCAGCATTCCAAGATTAAAGCTGAAGTGTTCATTTAATGTAGGACAAGCATGCTTCCCCCTGTTCTCTGCAACAGTAACCCTTTAAGACTTTCATTTATCCAGAACACTGCAGCTTGTGTTTCATTCTGGCCAGTTCTAGTGAGCTTGGGCTGGCACATGCATCTGGGTGATGGTGAGAAACTACTATGGCAGTCTTTTAATTCATGTGCCTAGGTGCAGATGGATTGTCTATCATTATTCTGTGAGGCAGCTCCTCCCCGTCACCCTGGCACTTGCACTGGATAATATGCACATAATTTGGCCAGACAGAGCAGAAGCCATTTCTAAGCAACAATCCTACCCATACTGCTGTATTGTAAAGTACAATAAGGAGTGGGGACTCAGCATGTTGGGAGGAGTTTGAAACACTTTTTTAAACTTTAACTTTTGAGAGTTATAGTAATGAACCTGAGCCTCATCCCTACTTGCTTTAACCTTTTTTTTAAGTAGAAATTGTATATTTTGTCATTGTCTCCTTAAAGCACAGTGGAGGGAATTTATCACAACTGGAGCAGAGAAAATATGGAACAGTTGCCCATGGCAACCAATCAGCTTCTCTCTTTAGTTTGTTCATTAAAGATTCAAAAATGAAAGAGAGATGCTGATTGGTTGCTGTGTACATCTGCTCCAGATTTTCCCTGCTCCAGTTTTGATAAATCCCCCCCCAATGTGGCATGGTATGAAATATAAAAAACAAAACAAAAACATTTTTATATTAACTTATTTTTTTTCCCTCCATTGTTAGCTTTATAATGATCTGAATGCATGTTATGAAATGACTAAGTCCAGTGAGACTCAATTGCGGCAAAGTAATATTGCTCTCACTGAGCAGTTACATCAAAAGGAGCAACATATTAGTCAGCTGCAAGTGAAACTGCAAGAAACCCTCAATGCATTACTCAAGTCACCTCAAGAACCTCAGGTACAGCATTAGGAACTGTAATGTATTTATATTTTATGAGTGGTTCACCAGGCTAGCATTATCGCTAGATGTGTGTTCAGTCCTTCCTATAGTAGCTATTGACATTTTTTTTAACCTCTTGACTGAGTATGTCACATACACTTAAACATTTCAGAATCCTCTGTGCAGTAAAAGTAAAGGCCATTAGCTGCTTACTTCACAACAATGACACAGTCATTATGGAGTGCTCTTTAGTTATCACTATTTTACTCTTCAGTGTTTATTTTCAAGTCCAATGGTCATGAGCAGTGTAAAAAAAAAACAACATATTTTACATACAAAAAAAATTAATATATATTTATAACTTTTTACAGATGCTTTTCATATATGACAAGTTTCCAGCAACCTATAAATTGACTTAATGTGGCCATGTGCAGTTCAGTTATTGGCCAACTTGTTGCTTGGGCCAATTAGCCTAGGTTTAAAGAGGACATTACTTTTCCACCTGATTACTAGCCTATGTTCGGCATGATTAAAAGGGGGGCCACAGGATGACCACATCTGTGTATGCCACCCTTCTTTAGTACTATTTTCTGATCTGGATGGTAGTATATGTATAATGCCAGTCAATGGAGCTATAGTGTTTGTTTTATTTTCATAAGATCTAAAATAGTTTTCTGTAGTCCTTGTTTTTAAAAGTAACCAAACACTGCCTTTTGACTTGGTATTTTTTAGCAATTCCCTCTGTGGAGTCTGGCATTATCATTTAGCACATCCACCTGTTAAAACAGGATTTACCTTGTCATGTGAATGGGGACCTGTGTACTTAGTTTGGGATTTCTGACAAGTATTAGCTGTGTGTATTTGCTTCATGGCATTGCCAAGAAGCTGCAGTTTGGAAAGCTTTAACAATGGCAGTGCCTGTGTAAACGGGTGACTTGGGATTAAAAGAAGAAAAAAAAAAGAGTGAAACTGACTTCATAATATACAAATACAGCTGTACTGGAATCACGCTTCTGCAAATCACAGAACCCAGGAGCTCTACAAAGAATGTCAGCAAGGATTACCACACAGTTTTCAGTCGCCCTGAGCTACAAGATGTTATTAACAGGTTTAGCAGTTTATTAATGTAGTAAAATCACGTATCATAAAATCATTTTGGATCATGTAGCAGTCCATGCTTGTATGGTCAGTCAAATGCCAGTTTGCATTCCCAGTTATTTTTTTTAGTGTTCAGAATGTAGAGCACTTTGGTGATTTATTGCACTTAATCGTTTTATTTCTACTGCTTTTAAACATTTTACATGGCTGAGAAACTTTGATGAGCCTGGTTTTGAAAAAAGCACATTATAATCATTTGGGGATTACACAGATGTTGTATGTCTTTTTCTTGACTATAAGAAGCAAGAGTATCTGTCTGTAGTGCTTTTCATGGTGTCTGCTTGTATGCCAGTAACTAATTTCAATGGTTTGAAGTATGGATGCACCGATATATCGGCCGCCGAAACATATCGGACGAAAATTGCACTTTTGGCTAAATGCCGAAGTGCAATTTTCCTGCCGATACATCGGCGCATCCCTGATTTCTTTCCTCCCCGCTGGGCGCTGCTCTGTGTCCCAGCGTGAAGGAGAGAAAATGACAGCCGAGCGCTGCGGGAGGAGAGCGCTGTGAGCGGCCGGTGTCTCTTCTCCCACACCGCTCAGCCGCCTATCATAGTCTGGCAGAACGGTGTGGGGGCGGAGACAGCCCGCGCTGTCACTGGAGGCTGGGCTCTCCTTCCACACCACTCGCTCAGCCTCCTGTGACAGCGTGTCAGAGAGGAGAGCGAGAGAAAACACTCAACGATCAGTGATCACTGAGTGTTTGTACATAATTGAGGACATGGTATGTTGACTATATACTCAATTATGAATGAATGGGAAGTGATCTATATCCACCCCTGTTCATTCATAGTTGTAGTTATAGTAAACATACTATGTTCTCAAGTTATCAATGAACAGGAACACTCATAGAGGATTCCTGTTCATTGATAACAGGGGATACAGAAAAAGAGGTTGAGGACTCTGTGTTCTCAATCTCTTTTTTTCTATTTTAAAAGGGAAATATCAGGGGTCTGTTTAGACCCCTAATATTTCCCCGGAGCCCCTAAAAGTAAAGTAAAACATAAAAATATTTAATAATAAATACAAATAAATATAAACAAATTAAAAAGTTTATAAAAAATAAATAAAAATAAAATATTTTAAAAATTTGAAAAAATTAAAGTAAAAACATTTTCGGTTTCGGCCTGACAATTCTTTTTTATTTTGGTTTCGTTTCGGTTTTAAAATTTCTATTTCGAGGCACCTCTAGTTTGAAGAGCACATATTTGGCTGTATGTAATGCATGTGACAATAAGTTCACAAGTATATTTCCTGACATCTTTCACTTTGTGAATGCTGGTGACCTCCCCATACATTCTTGTGTACGTTCAGCGCCATCCATGTCATCACTTTGAGCACCACAAGGATTTAATGGACTAAATACGCCGTATGGAGTACAGGTGTTACACTACAACACTATATGGCTCAGGATGCAGGCATACAAACCTTTCCCATTTTTCCCCCCTATATTCTGCGTGATGCTTAAAATCTGATTAGAGATGGAAGGTTTTATAGAAATTGTCAGTCTCTGTGTGGCACCAAATCTCCCACTCCAATACCAACTTATAAAGTCCTGCTTTTGTCCATCCCTTCTTTCATACATATGTGACTTGCAGACGTAGACAAAAAAGTTTTGCTATTGTTGAGGTATTAGTGGTCTATATTCAAGCCTTCTGTTCTGAAGCATAACATGGTATGGATCATACCTTGTGTGGTAACAGGAAGGGTACACTGTGTGCATGAAAGCAGATGCTGGGTGATATTTGCCTTGGGGGTAGCCTATGCCTGTTTGACTCTTACAGTCTTCCTTTACAGATTAAAAAAATGTTTTTACATCACCACTCAATGAAACTTTAATTTTGAAATGTATTCTCTTTTGAATATAACTTTTACCGGTGTGATTAATAAATATTTAATTGTGTTTACTGAACAAATGCAGCTAGTGTCTAGCTGTCTTGTATCCTAACTTTGTACATGTACCTGCTGACATCAAAGCCAGGTTTAGTAGCCCAGGAATCCACGGAAGCACCGTAATTAACTTGAAATGAATATTTTTATTTGTAATGGAAGATCTGAAAGGTGCACACTTTTTACTGATATATAATTCTGTTGCAACTGTTAAAAGATTCTTTTAAATTCGCCTCTGTAGTTCTTAGCAGGGATTGCTTGGGTGAAAAATTGCTACTGAAATGTTCAAAGAGTTGATTAGTAGGAAGCACGGGGAGCCAAAACTCAAGAAATATGTTTCTATAGTACATTTGTATTTGTATCTTGATCCCCCTTTTTTTTTACCTTAACATCTTTAAGATGCAAGGCTTTTTTGACACCAAATATGGATGATCTGCCAGAAGGCATTACAATGTAATATTTTAAAGGCAATTTGCAGTACTCTTTTTTAACTGCTAAATATACCTTGTAATATAAAAAAATAAATACATAAAAAGGACATGGTATACAAACAACTGTTTCTCTGTTTAGATTTGTGACTGAGCCCCGGTAAAGAAATGGTACATGACACAGTTTTTTATTGGTGCATATTTACATAATATGCATTTTAGTAAGGAAGC